CCCACAAATTCTGTCTCATGGGAAAATTACGTTTACTTCTCCAAAAGACTTACCTGGTTCAATGGAAATGCACAGTTCAATGTTCTTTTAAATAAGTCAGACTTATTTTGAATTTCTCCAGGAATTTTATAGCTCCCCAAAATTGACCACAGAGGATACATACGTAGATTGCTATGCACACACTCTTCTACCCCATAATATGTTAATGATGTGTTTACAGATAAATAGAATTGTAATACATTGAGTTGACTGAATGGATTCAGTGTATTTTTTCATCACTGAATGGAACTGTATGTTAATATAACATACAGGCATTCTCAAAAGCAAGCCCTATTGAACTCAATAGTACTTACTTCTGTGTAGGCATACATGTGATTGTACTCAAGAAATTGCCATACACTTAGGAAAAGAGTTTCTGGATCAGATGAGGTGACTGTATGGGAAGATATGAGGCACTCATCTGATTTCACTGAGTGTCCTATCTTTTTGAACCCTTGGCACCAGGACCTCATTTTGCTGGACTGGTCTAGATGTCTGAAGTTAAAAAATAAAAAGAAATTAAAAACAGGCTCTCAAGACATGTAGAAGTACCAACACAATCAGTACATGAAATCTAGGTCTCAGCAACTATAGATGTATTGTTAAGGACACTGAACTAGAAACAGGGTCTACTCTGTATCATGTGCTCTTATCTATTTTTGTCACAGACAAGAAATAAAACACAAGTATTTGTTTTAATTATTAAAAAACTAGTAACATGGAAAAGCAGGATAGAGAGAAGAGAGGCTTCTAAAAAGACAAGCTGTGCCTACAGAAATAAGAGTATAGAATATAAATTTTAAAAAGGGACTAAGAATAAGAAAATAATAACATCTCTATATAATTAATAAATGATGCCTTACAAAATATTCTCTATATTATGCCTTGTTTAAAAAGCTTGAGGTCTTGCAGTAATAGAATGCACAATCCAAATAAATTACAAATATAATAAAAAAAACAATGATTTGCATTCAGTTTTCATTCTATTTGGGAAAGCATTCCTGAGCAAAATTCTGGTCAGAACTGCCATGGATGGAAATAGAATAGGAGAGCAATTTTCACAGCTTATTCCTCCCTCTGCAGGCCCCAATCAACACTGTGCCTCCTTTGGAGACAATTTGGAAGGGCATAGCAGACTGTTGAGCGAGTGAGACACAGGTGAAGATCATGTCTCCACTTTCCAGCCAGCTCTCCTGGATCCAAAGTCTCCCACTGATTAAAGGAGCCTCTCCTTCGGTGGCAGGCTTTTGTTGGATGCAGTGTAGCACTAGAACACAACCAAGACAGACACTGCAGTGAGCACTTGCCTCTTCCGGATGGAAACATCCTTGAGCATGAGAACTGGTAAGAGGACAGGGGTGGAGTTTCTTTTGGAGCCCCAGATCTGTGCGAAACCATCTACCTCAGGTATCCATGGGCACTTGCTGAAATAAGGTAGAGGCCCTGTGATCTCTGTTGCATTTGATTACCCCAGAGTAGCTGGCTTTTTGCCCACAAGTGCTTCAACTCCTGTTTCCCCTGCCCCCAATTTTTGTGCCTAATTTTATTTTCCCTTCTTACTGTTCAAGGATGTCCTTAAGAGACAGTCCCCTTTAAGGATTCACACGCGTCCACTTTAGAACTAGCACTACAAGTCTGTGCTTTTAATTTTTTAACAAATAGTTTTGTCCTGTGGGCTTTAGTCCTGGACACCCTGTCCTTGAAGTTAATGTCTTTACTATCATTTGATGCAAGGAATTGTGTTTACCAGGTCGAATGTAAACAAAATGTAAGATCTTCGCTATCACATGCCCTAATCTACACCAAACTCTACATACCTCCTTCTTTCCCCCCTCCTCTCCTTCCCCTTGCCATCTCCTTTAGGAAAGAACTGTTTCTATAAAAAATACGTAAGGTATTCCAAGTTGTATTAAGTAAAGCTGACAGGACGCCAGTGTGCAAACAACGCTGTTTCAGCAGAGACCGCCAAGGGGCGCTGCGAATCCAGAGTTGAGAAAGAAAACTGCATCAGAGAGAGACGAGGAGTACGAGCGATGCCACGGCTGGTCTCCTATTCTGCCTCAGCGCAAGAAAGGGGCAGCTGTGGGGAGCCTTGCTTGACCCTCGGCACTCCGCCCGCACACTATGGGATGCATGGATGAGCGATCAGCTCCCGCGTCTCGCAGAAGCATGTCTTGAACCACCGAAAGAAGCAAAACGTGCCACACACTTTAGCCATTGAAGCTTTATCCTTACACAGCTGGGGTGCGAGGAGGGGAACCGAGAGGCAGCCACAGTTTCCCTTACGCAGTCACCTGCTTGTGGAGGCCTCAGGAAGAAATGATGAGATCTCATACAGTTTCCTCCTGCTAACACAGGGACCTTTCCAACAAAGGGGCGGGTCCTGGAACACCCAGAGACCCCCGACGACAGAACAAGGCAGGCGGGCGTCGCCCCGACGCATTTAGGCGGGTCGACTCGGTTGTCGCCGCGACCTGCCTCCACGCCTCGGCTGAACCTGGCACTGCAGCCGCCGAGAAGGACCGCCGCGCTTCCTCCCCCTCAGCGGCCGCGGAGCTACCCGGAGCAAGCCGCGACAGTTGTGAGTGCGGCCGTCTGCGAAGAAACTCTCGCTCGCTGCTGTAAGGCGCCTTTGGTTAGCCCGTGTTGCCTTGCTCGTCCCCGGGAAGGACGACGCAGTTGTGCGAAGACTCCTGTTGCTTGTTTGGGGCTGCAGCTGCTGCTTTGTTTACAAAGGGAGAACGAGGCAACAGGGGGCGGGGGGGAGGCAAGATTGAAAGGAAAAGGTTCGCTCGAGAGAGGCGGGAGCAGTTTCGCTTCTCCGTACCTTATGCCCCAGGAAGTGGAAAGCGAGTGGGCGTCCGACGACAAATTCTATGGCGGGAGTCTGGCAGAGTCACTGCCAAGCAATAGGAGCGCCCCACTTTTCTTGCTCCTTTCCGCTCTCCTTTTCTGGAGAGCCAGGCTGCAGACAGGCCCCGACCATGCTCTGCCTCCTCACCCCGGCTATCTCCCCCTCCTCGCTCTGGTCACTTCATACCCCAGGGGTCACAAGAAAGTTATGATAAAGGACGTCTTAAACACATTTCGGAGGCGGGAAGGTCCTTAATCTTGCAGACTCTGTTACTGAAGGAAAAGCAGCCGATTGGGAGAGGAGGCCGTCGAACAGTAAACGGTCGAGAGCCTGGGCTCCTCCCTTGCTCTGCTCTTTCAGAAGAAGCTGGAATAGAGCAGGAGCGCAGCATCCTCAGTCGGGAAGCTCCTGGGTCGCCCCTCTGCATGCAAGCTTATTTTGCCAAAAGAGCCCGGCTTTTTGCCCCTTCCTCACGCACTGTGGACAGGGCAACATAGAGGGCTGGTAGCTGAAAAAGCGGCTGTCTCATTTTTTGACCTGAAATGAAGTAGTGGTGGGGAATGGGCCTCGCTCGTCCAATTCTCCATACCACCCATTGAGCGAGGGGAAGCCACCAGGCAGACGTGGCAGCTGCGTAGCCAGGGTCGAACCACCCTTTGCTCTTGCGTTGCTCCTTGTCCCCACTATGCAATGAAGAGCGAGTGGCCAGTCCACTCCCTCCTTTTGCTCCCTACCTCTGGACTGCCCCACGAAGCCCAATGAGCAAGCAGGTAGAGCATTGCAAGAAAAGAGTACAGCGGGGCAATTGGAGAAAGTCCCTTGCCCAGTCCTTGCTGTCACCAGAAAGAAAGGCTGAGGCATGAGGGTCGCAGCTATTAAGAGGGAGAAATCAGGTGGTTGCATTCTGCACCTCCGAGACAGCAATGTGATACAGAAGCAGCTCTCGGGGTGGCGCTAGGGCACCCGGCAGGAGCCCTGTCCACCTGCCAGGGGTCCAGGCGTTACGTGGTTAGCCCCCCCCCCCCCCGCTCTTTTCTACCATTTGCTGTTTGCAGAACGGAGAAAGAGGTTTCCTGTTTCGACTGCTTTTCCTCCCCGGCTGGCTGTTTTCCACATATACATGGCCCTACTAAGCAATGGCTTTCAGAGACACTGAACAGCGCCCTTTTGGGAGCTCCCATCCTCGGGAAGTTGAAGCCCGCCTGAGGAGAGCTGCGCGGCGACGCGCGCTCTCCGTGCGTCGCGAGCAGCAACGTGGGAATAGGAAAGGCGGGAGGCTGGAAAACTGTTGAATCGCTGGCCTCTGCTTCGAGCACAGGGCACGGCAGTTGCTTCCCGCCCGCAACATGAGGGAAAGGCCAGGGCAAAGACTCGTAAAAGAAGGGCCGAGAAATGGTGGCGGGCTTACAGGAGGGACCTGAGGTCTGAAGCCACCGTTCTTCGCACTGACTGATGAGAAAGGACAGCAGCAGCAAGGCTGTTGCAAGAGCAGGCGAGCGCCGGACGAGCGTGTCACAGTCCTCCCTCCCCACCTTAGCGTGCTGCTCCCAGATTAAAATGTGGGCGCGCACACAGCACAGGATACAGTAAACAGACAGCGTCGCTCACGGCGGAGGGGCAGGAGGCAGGTGAGAGGCCGACTGGGAAGGAAACTCCAACCAAGCAACGCTTCCGCACGTACACCGGAGAGCAACTGGAGATCCGAGAGCGCAGTGCTTGGCAAGGCGAGGCAGTCGCCTGGCCCTGGGAAATCATGATGGAGATGGGACCGGGCGAGGAGCTTCGCGGGTGGACAGCCGCTCAAGTAACCCTTCCTGAGAGCCAAGGCTTCCAGGGTTGACGGCTGGACAGAACAGGGACATAAGCCGGAGGTGTCGTTTAGCACCGCCGGAGATCTGCTGCTGCTGCTGCTGCTGCTGCTGCTTTGGGATTTAATGTTCGTTTCTCCCCAGGCGGTGGTGTCTTGCTGACCGCGGGTTTCAGCGTCGCCCTCCCTTGATGTCTCTTGCATCTGGGTTTTGTTACCAGGGTTTCTTTTTCCGCAGAAGGAGCTGCTGGGGGTTTCAAAAGTTGCAGCGTGGTCCTAATTCCTCTTTCCGCTGCCATCATGTGCACCAACATCGTTTACGAGTGGCTGAAGACCCTGAAGCTCTCGCAGTACGCCGAGTCCTTTGTGGATAATGGCTACGACGACCTGGAGGTGTGCAAACAAATCGGGGACCCAGACCTGGATGCGATCGGGGTCACGGTGTCACAGCACCGGCGCCGGCTCCTGGATGCCGTGCAGAGGCTGAAAGAGGAGGACGAGAGGAACGCCGGGCTTTACTTCACCTTGGAGCCTCAGCCCCCGCGGCGGGGCTCGCCCTCGCCGGAGATCTACACCAGCCACCTGGTGGAGCAATACGAGGCCAAGACTTGGAAGGACAATCGCCATCCACCTCCCGGGAATAGGGGGGTCCCTAAGAAAATGCGTCCCCGCAGCAAGGAGCTGTTTACTTATCCCAAACTCAAACTGAAAATCATGATTAGGGATAAACTAATTCGGGATGGGATCAATCTCAGCAAGCCCCCGTACTCCAACAAGGTAAGGAACCGCAATCCCCCCTCACCCCTTTCAATGAGCTCTCATGCTTTCTTTGCTCAAATGCGGCTCATGGGGCAAGTGTTTCAAAGAGTGAGTGAGCTGAACTTTTTCTGTTTTTTTCCGGCTTTGAGTGGTACTTGCTCTCGGTTTTGCTTGAGTTCGACATTGGGACTTGGTCGCTATTGTACAGGTGCTAAAATGCGTGGAAGTTGAAGAGTGGAAGGAGTTGGCTAAAAGAAAGGACAAGCTAGAACTTTTCTGCTGTGTGGTGACTACAGAACTTGAGAAGATTCTGACAGTTCTTCTCTTTGGAGAGTTGTTCAGAGTCATACAGAGTCAGTTGTGTCTTCTTTAAGTTAGGTGACTTTTAGTGCCTTGGTTTTTACTGCTAGCATACTTGTAAGCAAGATGACAGTGTGATAGCGCTAGTGATGGTGATGTGTTTTTTTAGTATTTCCATTTAATTTTTAGTGCTGGAAAATCATCTGTTAAGAAATTCCTTCTGCATTCCTTGACACTATGAAACAAACTGTTCTAGAAGTTGGTATGTAATTGATGCCTGAAATCAACAAAAAATTATCTTAAAAGGTAGATCTTGGATTTTCAAAGTGATTCTGAAACACAAGTGGGGTCAAGAAGGTGTGGATTTTTTGGTTGGTCCTAAAATTAAGGAGAATTTCCAGCACAGTCTGATGTACATTAGTTCAGAGTAACTGGCAATATATTCTGTGGAACTTATTCCCAAGGAAGCCTATATGCCAAGTGCTATGATCCAAATGTGTTTTCTTTTTATGAGGAAGGAGGTTAAGTGCCTCAGTGGAGGCATGGAGACTATTGATAGCCAATAACTGTTTTAATTTTTTTAAAGAAATGCCAAGTGCAGAGTCTTACATTGTGCTCAGTAATTCATAGCCTTTTTGAAAATCCTGCTTTGCAAGAGGATCAGTAAACAGGATAATAGGTTTGGGGGTTTTGTTGATCAGAATGGCATTGTGCAGAAACTTAGACTAATCTATTTTCTCTGCAAAATTGGTTTATGTGGATGACAGGTGAGATTGTTATCTGTAATCTGGTGTCTGTAATGTAATTCAGTAATACTATAAGCTGTTCAAGATGAGCTTTGAGCTCAATAACAGATATTTCACAGTCATCATGGACAGCACAGCGGATGATGCCTAGCCAGCATGTGGCAAAAACAGTTCTAAATGCAAATAGATTAATGGATACATTTGGAAGTAAAAACATGTAGAAAAAATGTAGTGGCCACCTATGAAGCAATTGTATACCAAATAGAAATGTGCTAATGAAAATGCTGGCCATTTCATCTTATGAAGCTGTAGATTAAATGAAGAGGTGCCAAGGTATAACCATGCTGGCCACTCCTCAAATGTATGTCAGAATTGAGTTTGGAAATGAAAGTAAAAGAGACCCACACCTCAAGCATGGAAATCTATACCTAGTAGGTAGGAATAGGTTATTGTGTGTTGTGTCATTAAAAAGGTGCAGTGATCAAAACCTAAGTATTTACTTTCATTCTATGACACTATTGTATAAATTGGTTTTGTCACTGACTAGCTCTTGGCAGGAGTAGCAAACCATAGCCAAGGGATTTAAAGTCTGATATGAATTTGCAAAGACAAGTCTATGAACTCCTGCATACTCTACAAATAAATAGATCTCTGAAATAAATTATCTGTTATCTGGTAAATGGCAATTAATTTTATTTTTAAATAGGTATGTTTACAGCATAAAACTGTACAAAGTAAACTGCTGCTGCTGCAGGAGATTTATTTTAAAACAAATGCAGCCCCTCTACTGAAACAAAATTTGCCACTGTGGTCTTGGAAAATGTCATTGCAGTGTAAAATATTCACTTTCTTGAGGACACCTTACTATTTGTTATAACTAGAGCATATTAAGATATTTGCTATTTTAACTTGGTGTCACTTCTACTAAATTCTTCTTAGGCTGATGATAGATAGTACTATAGTTTATTTGGACACTATCCAGAAAATTGAAATATTGCTGCTTTTGCTTCTTTAACATTCTTTAGATTTTTCATGTAGAGAACATTGAACCAACACAGTTAGCAAGCCCTAATGCATTTCATTTCTGCAAGATTTTCAATTATGTTTACTCCAGTGAATAAAACAAGGGATATTTAGCTTAAATATAGTGCACAGGCCTATAACAATTTCAGCATGCTGAACATAAATCATCTCAATGTGCCTGGTTATTTCATGAACAGATGCAATATTTTACTGCTCTGGCTTTATTATTTCTAGTAACCCCAAAATAATACTTAGTATTTATATGGCACATTTCAAATATTCAAAGAAGTAAAGCAGGCTTTGCCTACACCATACTGCCTCCTTGCTGCCCTCCAAATGTGTTGTACAGGAGCTCTCATCATGCTGCCTGGGATGGAAGTTACCATTCAACATGTTTGGAAAACGGGTTCAGGAAGGTTGACTTGCATTATCTCACCACAACTGTTTTTAAACTTCCATTTTTGATTGAGTTCCTAGAGTAGGCAGCAGACTTCTAAATCTATGTAGTCTTGAAAGGTACTGATTATTTGGACTTCAATCACCCAATCTGTGTTCAAGCTGGGCTTCAAGATAAAAACAACTTCGGTTGACGGTTTATGTTGGAAAATGGACAGTGGGGATGTGACCCTGCAACTTAGCTGTTGTGGAATTCAAAGCAGCTTTGTTACCATCCAATCATAACTTGACTTTCAGACTCAATGGTACTGGGAACTCAAGAAGGTCATCCACAGGTCTGAGCTGCAGTATCACCAATATGTAGATGGCACCTGTTGGTGAGCCGCCCTGAGGCTTTGGCGAATGGGGCGACATAGAAGCTTACTATATAAATAAATAAATAAATACCAAGATGACTGTGCTCCTCAGTGTGAACAAACAAGTTCATAGCTTGTGGAAGCTTCTGAATTTGTCAAAGCACAGATGGTGGCAGTCATGATACCCATTTTTTGTTGGTGGGACTATCTGATCCCAGCATGGTGTTTCCCAGACCAACTCAATTCAACGCACTGGTTTTGACCTTCAAAGCCAATTCAAACCTTAGATGGGTCAAAGTTGTTTGAAAGACCACATATGCCATTATGAACTTTTTCAGAGTGGTGTAGTGGTTAAGGGTACAGGACTAGGACTCAGGCAATCCTGAATTCTAGTCCCTGTTCACCTTGAAACCGACTAGGTAACTTTGGGTCAGTCACAGATTTTCAGCCCAACTTACCTCACAGGGTTGTTGTTGTGGAGATAAGATTGAGAGCAGCAGGAAGAGAATGGTATAAGCGGCTTTGAGATTCTTAAAGGAAAAGGGTGAGATATAAAGCTAATAAATAAATGAATAAATATAATGATCAAAGCCACTACTTGCTGGCCACTTATTAAATTCTATGAGAATGGTGGGAACTAGAAATGAGGTCTCCTTAGTGGAAGTCCCTAACCTATGGAATTTGTCACTTACATGGCTAGCTCTATCTGTTGTTGTTTTTAGAGCCTTTTTAAAACAAACATTTGTTTCCTCTGTTTTTTAGCTGAAAGGCTGTATTACTGCTTCTTCTGATTGGAATGGTGTAACTGGTGTCCTGCGCTAGTAGAGGGTTAGATTTGATGGCCTTCTTGGCCCCTTCTGACTCACCTGTTCTGTGAATCTGTGAGTTTCCTTACATTTAGTCTATTTAAGATTGCATTTTGGTGTACTTGTACAATCTGGACTCCAGATCAGGCAACCACATTGTGTTTTGTACATTGGTATAGAATGCCAATGTACAAAAATATTGTACATTTTGGACTTAAAATATTTGAAAATAATTTAGATGTCAGTGTTTTTTTCTGAAATGGATATGTTTCTAGGTTATGTGTGCATACTTCTTAGGACAGGTGCAGGCAGAAGGTAGATAGGAATCTAGTAGTTCTTGAGGTTATTTGTAGTAGCTTGGCAGGTGTTCTGCAGATTCCCAGTGGCTAGCTTACCCCTGAGCAGAGTCCTCTCACTGTTCATCATGAGTGCCATGAAAAGGCAAGCAATGTTTACTGTTTATTACTGTGGTGTTGCCAAGTGAAGCTGCTCATGTGATTTTCCACCTGTGATGTAAAAAAAAGTTTTATTTTTTCATTTATATCCCACTTCTCCTTTTGCAAGGAATTCAAGGCAGGTTATATAACTGTTCTTGTCTTCATTTCAATCTCACAGCAATCCTGTAAAGTAGGTTGGCTGACAGTCAGCGACTGACCCAGTGTATCCCATGAGCTTCATTGCCAAGCAATGTCTAGAACCTGGAACTATAAAGATCCAGTCCAATCCTCTAACCACTAACTTGGCAGGCCTTGGATACACCTTGAGAAGGAGCAGGGAGTGCCTTGCTTTGCAAGATGTCGTGACCCAATCTAAATTAGGTTGCTGCAAAAGCAAACCAGTGTGTGTGAAAGGACAAGTGAACTTGATTCTAGCAGTGATCACAGTTTTCTGGGCTAAGAATGTGCCCAGTGGCAATTTATTCTTCCATTCTTAGTGTCCACTTTCCTGAACCACTGTTTTGCACATGGTAGACATCGTATGTCGGTCACATATACCAGGCTGTGAGACTGTCTCTTCCCTTGGAGCTAGGCACTGTAGGAGGGGAAATTCAGGGAGATCATGGGCAGGTGGCGGCAAGCAGTACAGTTGCAGTGGGATGGGAAATGCACCATGGCAGTGAAACACAGATGGGGATGTCAGCAGTGTGACCGTGGGGTAGTGGCTGTGCTGTTCTTCAGCCTCAGGCACTGGAGAGCTCACACTGAAATTAATCTTAAAGCTTCAGATACCTTTTAGTTCACAGATTTTCTGTGCAGAAAGAAGCTTTTTCATCCCATGCCTGTTTTCCCAGTTCCTTCTTCCTTTTCCACAGGGACTGTGGCATTTCATAGCCATGATAAATAGATTAAAAACTTTTGAATTAAAGTTGAAGTTTAAACAACACACAGTTATACTTCATTTGTGTGACTAAAGAATTATTGTAGTGGAGCATATAATACAGTGATTTATAATGCAAGCTATGCATCTTTGCTCATAGAAGTAGGGTTCACAATGTTCAGTGAAACTTACAACTAGTAAGTGAAAGGGATTGTAACCTTAATCTGTTCTTTGGCAGAAATGTGAGACATACTTATCGGAACGGCTATCGTCACACTATAGAAAACTGTGTAAGACAGTTTTTTGAACCGTGTATTCTTTGGAGGAAGCCTGGAACAAGAAAGCTATACATAATACTGAAGTCTTAGTGTAAGGTGCTCTTGAGAAATTTCTGTTTGATTAGTATTTTATTTCATTGAAAATACTACATTCCTCCAGTAGAGGAGGAATAACAACAGGGGTATAGATATAATTATATAAAAACAATGGGTTAAAGATGAAATGAAAATCCCCCTAATGTAAAACTAAAGGTAAGAAAACCCTAAGCACCAGCATAAATCAGCTGCTGGCAGGTGGGGATGGACAGATAGATATTCCCTATGATTAGCATGTGGGGAGGATGCCCCACATTTAAAGGAACCCCTTTTCTCCATATGATTGAGCTCTACCTGGCATCAAGTAGGCTGCATCGGGAGTCTGTTTCAGTGCTGCAATGAGACTGTGGTGAAAGGGACAGGTATTCCATGAACAACATGAAGAAGGGTATGGAAAGGACTCAAAAGGTAGGCCTGAAGTCAGGAAGTCTTGAAATAAAGAAAAAGCCTTTCCTTTCCAAAAGCAAAGTACTGCAATAAGGATTATGCTTCAAGACAGTTCAGCTGAACTAGAAAGGGAATATATTATTTTAGAAATAGCATGATGAATGTGAGAGATCAAAGATGGACATTAAATAGGAAATGGTGTGGGTGGGGTGGAGAGTGAGCTTTGCTAGTCAACCATCAGGGTGTGGTGAGTTTTATTCTAGATCAAAGCATACTATTTGGTACGGTATCTGAAAAGTAGCAGCGATGGGAATCTGCACGACTAATGACTAATTAATTAGACAGATAATGCAGAATTACTAAAAATGGCTGACAAACTATTAAAACTGACTGGAAGCTGGTGATTTTTAATTTCAGTCTAAGAAAGTCAGGGTTGCATAGCTGTGAGGATGTCAAGAGAAATCAAGTATTCTATTTATTTTATATATGAACTATCTAGTATCTAATAGTTTAGTTATATTTCATTATGGTGTCTAAATGAAATAAGTGACCTGACCTGACCTATTCTAGAGTAACTTATTCAGTGTTTTCTTTCATGGAATATTGTGCCGAGAACTTCATGTACAAAATAAAATGGCTAAAACGTTTTTTAATCCATCTTATTTTAAGATAATTTGTGTGGCTGAAGTAAACATGCATTAATAGAAATTTTAATCTTTATTAAAGTGAGAACTACACTCAGAACTTTGTTACTCAGGAACCTCCGAGATTGTTCTTGCATGCATTCACAGGAGTGCCCATAAATGCTGATGATCGAGTACACACTGGAGACTGTATTAGACCTTAACCCATAAAGCTGAAAATGCATGTAAATACACACAAAAGCATGAAAACAAATCCAAATTACTGTCTCTTTAGACACCTGCAACATTAAAAAAATCTGCTTCCATTTCTAAAGCAGCATACTTTATAAACTAAGATTGCAGCTTTACTTTTTCATCAATTTAATATTATGTTTGAGCTTACTCTGTGTACAGGATTTTGCAACTTATTTGTGCAGTATTATACCTTATACGGGATGCTGTTTCCAGATATAAAATCTCAGAGGTATAACTCTACACTGCCAATGGTGCCAAAAATGTTTGATCTGAAATTACTATTTGCCTATGAACTAAAACACTTTTATTGCATTCTTCAAGTAAAATAAAAATCCAGTACACTTAATACTCACTTTTTATACATTCATGGAAAATTTCTTTCAGAATCAGACCAGATAGAAGTATTTCCATGTTATAAAATGCACCTCAGAAAGTCTTCCCATTGATAAAAGTAATTGTGCATAAGCAAAAAAACATAGAGGGCCTTATCCAGAATTACTGATGGAAGGGCTCTTCCATAGAAGTAGGTTGGATCCAGAAGAAACTCTGGATCCAGAGGTAGGCTATTTCCTTAATTGCAGAATCCAGCATCAGTACTTCCCTCATTACTACTACTATTATATTATGGTTATTTCTCATCTGTCTTCCTCCTACCAGGAACCCAATGAGGCTTACAAGGTTCTCCTTCTCTCTATTTTATCCTCATAACACTGACCCTATGTGGTAGGTTAGGCTGAATCTAACCCAGTGAGCTTAAGGACTTAGTGGGGACTAGAACCTGGATCTCCCTAGCTACTGTCCAGCACTCTAACCATTATGCCACACAAGTTTTCTTGTTTAACCCACTCCAGAGGGTCCTCCAGTCCTGTGCCACATAGGGGCCACGTAGATCTTAAGCCACATAGGGACTACAGGATTAAGAGAAATTGGTAAAAATAAATTCCCATGCTTCTGTGTATAGATTTAGGGTTCATAGGATTCTGCTCTGTCCCACTCTAGATCCAACCCAGTATTTTCTTAGCAAACTGTTAGTAGAGTTGCAGGCAATGTTTATGAAGTTTAAAATGTTTGTGAATATTCCCACTGAATATCTTTTTAGAAGAAGTCTGTTACTTCCTGTTTATTCTTTGAATTTATTCCATAGATCATTCTACAAACTTTGCACTAGACTTAATCTAACTATTGAGTCATATATAGAACTTGTAATGAAAGAAGCCTTCCCTCCCTTGTCATCCCAAGGGATGCTATTTATATTATCTTGCCATTGGCCATAAGTGTACTGAAAGGTAATTGATGACATGTTTACCTTTCTTGAAACATGTAAAGCACAGAATATCATAATCACAAACAGGGTTGTGGGCTTTGGGCATTTCTAGAGAGTGCCATCTTGCTTCCTAAAGTGCTTGATGAGAATGAAGGGTAAAGAACAAATGGCAAGTTTGAAATGTTCTTTGCTTGGTCAGTTTAAATCAGGCAGCTATTTTTAAAATAGCGTATCTGGGTCAATCTTTCTGACTAGGATAATGCAACATCATACACTGATAGACTTGCCTTGACAAATTGTGGGGGATTGTATGCTCTGCAGAGATTTCCATTTATTAAAACATCATGCTAGTACTTAACACAGGCTTGCTAATTTAAGACATATTTTGCACCAGAATGTGCTGGATGTGTAAAACATTACCAGATTTGCTATTCTGCCCATACACTAGAATAAAACTGTAGTGACACTGTTGGCAAATACTGTAAAATGCTGTCATTGCAATATATTAGCTTGTCTCTGTGGGCTATGTTTTATGGTAAGACTTCCATTTGGTACATTGTCTTATATATATCTGGAAGCCAAGATAGTACTGATGCAGTTATTCACAGATGAAAAAGAGGGGTGGCAGAGAGAGAGAGAACATAATGTGCTAAATTAATGAATAGCATATTGCTTGTCTGGTTGGTCTTTTGTATCATGCTCTAAGCAGACTTTTAAAGAAAACAACTATGGGGAAGGGAGGCAGGTCAGGACCAGCCTACAGAATATATGCCGCAGGTGTTAAACCTTTGCTTTC